CGTGACGGTCAATCCCACTATTCGTTGGTAAAAGAGTAGCCCAAGAGTTGGCGGTGGGTGGTGATGACTAGCTGCCTTCACTCTAGTCTTTCACTGCTAAATTAGGGACGGCTAGCGCAGATAGCCCTCGTGTAGCTTTGACCGGAATTCGAAAAAACAAACCAAATGAACAAATTGGAAATATTTTACCATTTAGCATTGTTTAATTATCTATTGAAACATTACTGCTTAAACATTAAACAGAACCATGCGTTATTCAACATAATAAAAAAAAATTTTAATTTGCTGATAACTCCCAGAATTACTGATTACCTAAATTATAAATATTACAGTTGAGCATGGCTATTTATATAATTAGCTTGTTATATATTCACGTGCTAAGTTTGAAAAACAACAACTGTATATTACTTTGTGGAGTGCATGGAACGTATTATGCTTATATGTTTTGATTAGTACGTTACAACTACAATTTATGATTTCTTGTTTCGATACTAGTTGCTTATACTTATAAGTTATTTTGTGATTCTAATTTGCACTTTACCCATCAGGGACTTTAGACTAATTTGTCTCCGACCTTATTCCTTGTTTCTAAGTTTCCCAAAACTGAAATGACATGTTCTATGATAATATTCAGTTGAATTATTCAGATTTCAATCCCTTGCCCTTATAACTATGTCTTATTATGGAACACAATGCACAGAAGTTACTGAGATTAAAAAGAAGAAAAAACACACGATCGTATCAAATTAGACAAACGTTTACATAAGAAAGTCACTAAAGCAGTCACGATCAGTATTCACTTCTAACAATAATTACTTATGCTTAGAAACACACATAAGTTAATCTGACCTTGCAGGAACTGCGAGAATTTGAAGAAACAATTCAAATTTTAACACAGCCTTTAAGAATTTATTAAAATATAGACGTACACTGTTATTTATGTTTAGAAAAACTTCTCGTCACAGGTATAAAGTACATGTATTTGTTCTGCATACGCTCAAAAGTAATATTCAGTTTGACTGTGTATGCATGATTTCATAAGATCAGCCTAGTTTTTTTGCACTATAAAAAAATGCAGTAAATACACAATTTCTAATGATTTCAATTCAAATTTCGTTACAAGATTTCAAGAAAATAGCAGTGAAACTCATATGTATTTTAATACATTATTTGAAATATTTAAAAAAACAAATGGGTCAGATATATAATAATCTACAGAACAACAATGTGCAGTCATCTTCCAGAATATGAACAGCATAGAGATTATGCCAGAATTTGATTACATAATAAACTGTTTTATTAAATCAAACTTTTTCGGTTAATATTATTTTATTTCCAATTTAACAAATGAACATAACATGAAATTTATGTATTAAAATAAAGCATATAACATATTAACCTTTTTCAGTTAATACTATTTTATTTCCAATTTAAAACTACTAGCAAATTAATATAAAATGAAACTAATATATTAAAATAAAGTCAAGAGTGTCGTTACTTTAATAGGGCCATTATGCAATAACTTAAATTTGTTGAAATTCAAATTAAGTACATTGTCTGCAAGAGCATGCTATGTTTTCACAGGTTTCTCAGTTTTCCTTGTACGTTGGGCCCCCTGGTGGGTCAGCGGTGAGTTTACGGAATTACAATGCTAAATTGCAGGGTTCGATTCCCCACTGAGGACAAGGCGCAGACAACCCATTGTGTAGCTTTGCGCTAACACAAAGACATAATACGAACTGTAAGATGGATGCAACAGTTGAACATATATGATCTAACTTTTGCGTAGGTATGCTACGTGGTGAAAATATAAAACGTTTTAGTCAAGCTACGTGGAACGCAACCCGCTGTGGCGATTATAATTATAATATCACAGATCAGTTTTTAAGTAATTACACAACAGTGGATTATTTTCTATTGTTTTCAATTTGATTTTGATTGTGAGTTCAAACTTTTTTCGATCACATTTTTGTACTTACACAAAATATACAAGTTGCTTTAACGTGCGTTTGAAGCGCCCCAGTGGCTCAGTGGTAAGTCTGAGAGTTTATAGCGCTAAAAATCGGGTTTCGATACCCGTGGTGGGCAGAGCACAGATAGCTCATTGTTTAGTTATTTGCTTAAGAATAAACAAACAAATCCAAAACAACCATTTAAGACAACTTACATTTTTTATTAATAAAATATTGTATCTGAAATATCCTGGTGTGATGTAGGTTGACTATCCTGAGCAAGAATGCATTTTGAAGTAATTTTACTGATTCAGATATCGCATTCTCTTGAGTCATACCCCGTCATTACACTCTGATATTCTTGAACTGAACTAAAGCTAAAGATGAATAGATTCCCCATAGCAAAGAACGATCTTAATTAGCGACATTCAAACTGCAATGAACAAGAACTGCTGAAGTTCACTAATCTAACGGAACCCAAAAACTAATCCAGCCGAATAAGCAAGACAAACTGGAGTTTTGACGCTAGTCATCTAGAAGGGTATGTTCTAAGGCATTGACGTTGGTTTCACACATACTCTGCTACCCATTGCATCATTTTTCGGTGAAAACATTTCGTGGAAACTTTCACATTAGGGGCTTTCCGAAGCGTGACAGCAATCAAGCTCGAAGAACTCAC